GGTTTCTACCAGGACAAGAAGGCGTGGTTCTTTTTTACACGTAATTTACTTCAAAGAGACATGCATTGCAATATTTATACTCTGGATGATGGGGCAGAATGAGACGGTATTAGCAAAGACGTTTCCATGTTCCAAAAAAAATATAATCAGCTAAACAACATATGAGGGATTAGGCCCAGTCCATGCGTGGATAAGCAGTACGCATCTTGACGACTACCTAGATTCGGCAGATTTTAATATTTTCTTTTGTGGGATTATACCAACAAAGAAACCGTAGTAACAAAAAAATAAAAGTGCTTACTCTAATATTTCTAGCTGTAAGCGAAAATGTACTATTTAGTTAGTTTTTTATGTCAGTACTGTTATTTAGTTCATATTGTTTGTAGCGTTCTGCCTGTGTCGGATAGACCTGGGCAAGCAACACAGAACCCATTTGAAGGGACTTCTACTTCTCTGTTACGGTTAACACCCCACCGATTAAATTTTTGCGTGACCCCCTCTTTATTTCTACTTGACAAATGGAGTCCGTAAAATTAAGTTGATCACAATTTAAATCGCGTGCTCGTACTTCGCAAATAGTCAGCATGCTGGAAACTTGAAAAGCACATCCGCTTCGCTTGATTTAGTCTTCCTCAACAGCATGCCACGCTTCTTACCATTTTTCTTTGATTATTCCAGCTTTTGACCCATCAGGTCCGATGATAACTAATATCACTCTTAAAGCGAAATCTCAAAGACACGTAAATAATGTATTCGTGAAGAAAAATATGTGCACAAAAGAAATAAAAGCAGATTTTTTTAATATTGTAACAAAAACGTCGCAGTAATTGTTGCGGTCAAATCACGTATTTCTACAATGTAGAAGCAATAATTTGAAGTACACCATTGAGCTATGATTATACAAAGATGAAGTATTTAAAATGTATCATGAATAAACCTATGCAGGACATTATATGCTCCCTAACCTGTACGACATGAGTGCCGCTGTATAATGATATAGATAAAATATTTAAAAAAAAAACTCTATTTCCGCATGAAAAACTACAATGATAATTTACCGATTAGTTTTGTCCTAAAGTAGAGGGAACTTTGTGCTTTTCCAACGCGTACGTCATGACAAACGATGACCTAAATACAAACGATTGCTATTCAGAAATCCATTAAACAATGCCGATAAACCATTCGCCCAGCCAACCTTGGCCGGCCATCTCAGAATTTTTTACATCTTCCATTAAATGTGTTCTATAATGTTTTAACGCTTAGTCGGTCTTAAATCGAGAATTTTGCAAGTTTGCTGCCTGCAGACACCGCCTGTCTGATTAGCCATTCAACCTTGACAACTGATCGAGTTTCAAGCTGTAAAAGACGTAAGTATATGAAATGGCATAGGAGTGACGTGTACTTTTCGATAATTTTATTAGCGTTCTAAATGCACAAATAAGCGAGACCTGAAAATATAATGGATCAAAAGACGCCGAGTGACCATAACGGTCGATATCCAGGTAGCACCACGTCGTGACTTCTATAATTAGTGTGCAACTCTTAGTTATGCCAAAACGACAATGAACAGTCAACTCATAGCGTCAACAGTAGAGTAGTCATTTGACAACAAATTTCGAGTACACATTTAGAAATGTAGGCAGTCCCGTAGTTAACTTGAAATACGCTCATTTTCCTAGAACAAGCCTTCGTTTTTGAACGAAACTCAGCGAGAGATAATAACTGGGTTAAACGGAACTACATATTAATAAATTAACATGGGTCATCAGACTTGAACTAGCATTATGGGTGTAGCTAGAAGTATTTTAAACATGCGGTAAGCTTGAATCTGGCATAGCTTCCAACCAAGGACAACCTGTTGAATGACGCGCACGGCTAAACATCTATTAGCAATTTGAACAATTATTTTAGTTTTGTATCTATAAAATGCCTTTATTTAATTACAAACGTAGTGAAGGACTTGCTAATGCCAACCTTTGAATTAGCAATCAGTGAATATTGGTACATAGTCCACAATGGGATAAACTTGCTGCGTGTCTAACTTCCCCTAAGGAGCAGCCGATTCCAAAACGGCGTTCACACAATTCAGTGGTTATTCCTGATAATCCTTTTGCCGAGAAGATCTTATCCATATAGTACTTTTATTGCTGTGGCAGCACTTTGGTCTCGAGGAGCATCGTTTCGGTCAATTATTTTGTGTTCGGACGGAACAGAATTTACGAGTCGGCCATTAAATGGGCTGCTTACTCTCCGAAAGTAATCTATATCGATTTGCTCTGCGACACGGTACGCCATAGTAACTGTAGACCATAATGAATTGCGAAAACAACGCACAGGTTTCATTTTGAAGTTCAAAGTAGTGTTCAAAGTGGTTTCTTGTATACATTATATTCCTTTACTTGTTTCCTTTGGATGACTTCTTACGAAAGCGAAGGGACTCTATATATAAGATAGATAGATAGATAGATAGATAGATAGATAGATAGATAGATAGATAGATAGATAGATAGATAGATAGATAGATAGATAGATAGATAGATAGATAGATAGATAGATAGATAGATAGATAGATAGATAGATAGATAGATAGATAGATAGATAGATAGATAGATAGATAGATAGATAGATAGATAGATAGATAGATAGATAGATAGATAGATAGATAGATAGATAGATAGATAGATAGATAGATAGATAGATAGATAGATAGATAGATAGATAGATAGATAGATAGATAGATAGATAGATAGATAGATAGATAGATAGATAGATAGATAGATAGATAGATAGATAGATAGATAGATAGATAGATAGATAGATAGATAGATAGATAGATAGATAGATAGATAGATAGATAGATAGATAGATAGATAGATAGATAGATAGATAGATAGATAGATAGATAGATAGATAGATAGATAGATATAATAGATAGATAGATAGATAGATAGATAGATAGATAGATAGATTAATAGATAGATAGATAGATAGATAGATACATAGATAGATAGATAGATAGATAGATTTACATAGATAGATAGATAGATAGATAGATTTACATAGATAGATAGATAGATAGATAGATTTACATAGATAGATAGATAGATAGATAGATTTACATAGATAGATAGATAGATAGATAGATTTACATAGATAGATAGATAGATAGATAGATAGATTTACATAGATAGATAGATAGATAGATAGATTTACATAGATAGATAGATAGATAGATAGATTTACATAGATAGATAGATAGATAGATAGATTTACATAGATAGATAGATAGATAGATAGATAGATTTACATAGATAGATAGATAGATAGATAGATTTACATAGATAGATAGATAGATAGATAGATAGATTTACATAGATAGATAGATAGATAGATAGATAGATTTACATAGATAGATAGATAGATAGATAGATAGATTTACATAGATAGATAGATAGATAGATAGATAGATTTACTATAGATAGATAGATAGATAGATAGATTTACATAGATAGATAGATAGATAGATAGATTTACAGATAGATAGATAGATAGATAGATAGATTTACATAGATAGATAGATAGATAGATAGATTTACATAGATAGATAGATAGATAGATAGATAGATTTACATAGATAGATAGATAGATAGATAGATTTACATAGATAGATAGATAGATAGATAGATAGATTTACATAGATAGATAGATAGATAGATAGATTTACATAGATAGATAGATAGATAGATAGATAGATTTACATAGATAGATAGATAGATAGATAGATAGATTTACAAATAGATAGATAGATAGATAGATAGATTTACAGATAGATAGATAGATAGATAGATAGATAGATTTACATATAGATAGATAGATAGATAGATTACGATAGATAGATAGATAGATAGATAGATTTACATAGATAGATAGATAGATAGATAGATAGATAGATAGATAGATTACATAGATAGATAGATAGATAGATAGATAGATAGATAGATTTACATAGATAGATAGATAGATAGATAGATAGATAGATAGATTTAGATAGATAGATAGATAGATAGATAGATAGATAGATAGATAGATAGATTAGATAGATAGATAGATAGATAGATAGATAGATAGATAGATAGATAGATTTACATAGATAGATAGATAGA